AAAATACTTTTGAAGTTAATGACGATGAATAAGACACATTTGTTTTGATAAAAAAAACAGAAAAGAGAATGACTAGAAAAAAGTGAAAGAATAAAAAAAAATTAGAATTTAATGGATTGGAATTGGTTAATCACTTCATCAATTGATGGACGTTCATCTTTGTCTTGTTGCCAACATTGTTTAATAATTGAGGCTATTTGTTCATTAAAATCAGTATCGAAATTAGGACGTTTTCCTTTTGCTACTTGGACAGCAGCGTCCCAACCATTAACAAATGGTTTGTCTTGATAGATTTCATGTTGTTGAAAGATTTCTAACAAACACATTCCAAGAGAATAAATATCAGAAGATTTAGTAGGTTCTTTTCCTTTAAGAACTTCAGGTGCTTGGAAAATAGCAACAGAAATCATTTCATCATCAGTGATAATATCTGAAGAAACTCCAGTTATTTGTTGAATATTCCAATAATCAGATAATTTACATACAACATCATCTTTTTTATTTAATGAAAAAACTAATAAATTTTGAGGTTTAATATCCCCATGAACTTTATTGTTATCATGTAAATATTTGATTGCTGTCATTACATCATTAAATGCTTTTTTAATCCATTTTATTGGTAAGTCTTCTCTACGATAACAAGTAGCAATATTTCCAAATTTTGCATATTCAATAATAAATGCTTCTCTTCCAGGAGCTACTGTTGCACCAATAACTTTAATAAGTTGTGGACATTGAATATCAGCTAATTCTTTGGCTGCTTTAGCAAACATTTCACGAGCTTCACTACTCCAGTCTATATTGAAATGTTTCATAATAACATCTTTTCCATTAAATAAAGCGGTAGATACTTCTCCTGAATTAGCTGTTTTAATAGTATCAAATTTAGTGATTGTTTCAACATCAAAAACAACACTTTCTTGAGCAATAATACCGAATTTAATTTGGGTTGTGAATTGAGGTGCTTGTTTATCTACACTTTCACCTTCACTACAATACAATTTAATTGGTAAATAATTCTTTGTTGAACATAAAAATTTAAGAGTTATTCCAATACTCACACCAGTGTGTGGTCCAAGAATTGCACGCGTTGGTTCTGCTATTAATGTATATTGATGATTAGGCCAATCTAAAATAAAAGCATATTCAAAGTCTGTTGGATTAGATACATAAATCTCATCATGAAATTCTTCAAATAATGGAAGTTCAATATTCTTTTGATTACATGTAATGACATATTTACTAACGTTTAATGGAAAGGAATTATTTGGTCGTCTAAAGAATGAGAACATTTCAATTTACTAAAAATTTCAAATTTTAAGTTTTTTCTTTTTTTTAAAGTTCTTTCATTTTTAGTTTTTATATTTTTTTGAGTTTTTTTTTAAAGGTTTATTTAATGTGTCTTGGATTTATGTATTTAAATGATATTATCAAAGATTGATTCTTCTGTCTTTAAAGAAGAAGAACTAAAATTACTTAAAGAAATTATTAAATGTCAATGGTCCATTGGAACTAATACAGTAATTGAGAGAGTTGAATATTTAACAAAAAGAAATATAGAAAGTATATTGCTCAATAAAGGTTAGAGATTCTATCATATTTTTCTCTAATTAATGAATGTAGTAATTATTTTCTTCAAAGAAAGAAAAAAAATTGAAAAGAGTTTTCAATCAGTTATGTCATAAAATGAAGATAAATCTCTTTCAAATTTTTATTATTTGAAATTCTTTCAATAAATAAATTAAATACTAATTCTTTTGAAATATATACAAATGAGGATATGATAATTTCTTGTATTTAAGGAGATTTTATTGTCCTAATATTCTTCAAATTGGAACATTAAAAAAAAATAAAAAGAATGTATTTAAAATACTCAGTCAAAATAATTCATTGTAATGTCTTGAATAAGAAAATGATTTTATTACTCTTAGTTTTAGTATCAGTAAACTAATACCCATCACCAAATAGAACGGTTATTGTTGATGAACAGTATAAACCATTTGATTAACTAAATATAATGAATCTCAAATAGACGTATCTTCCTGAAGGTTATTACCAAGAATTAGATCTGAGTCTATTCTTCTTTCTCAAAAATGATTTATATGTGAAAACATTTATAAACAATATGTTGTGGCAATTTTTACTAACGACGTAAAGAAAGTAAAATTACAAATAACTTCAAAGCTTTTGAAAGAATTGTATTTAGATAATTTCAAAGTTTTTATTTGATGATTTAAAATAATTTAAAAAATATCATTATCATTTCTAAATTATTATTCAACCATAATAATATTTTCATATAATTACTTTTTGATAAAATAATAAAAGAAATAATAAGAAATGTACGATGACGACACAATAGTGCGACAGAATGAGATGTGTTGAAGTTATGCACCAGACTTTCAGAGTACTTTTTATTAAATAAATAATTAATTAAAAAAAACAAAGTAACAAACAAAATAAAGAACTTTCATTTCTAATAAAACAAACTGAGGATAATGATTATTCTATTAGTTATTGGAATGTATGGATGGATTGTAAATAGTAAAACACTTGTTTGTACAGTAAAATCAAGTATTAATAGTCAACCTATAATTTATGGAAATGATTCTAATATTTATATTGAACCAAATTGTCCCCATAAAGGAGGAGATATGGATCTTTCAAGTTTAAATGGAGAAAGTACTTTCTATTTGACGGGAGAATATAATACAATTACAACACCATCACATCAATTTACAGTTCAACGATTAATATTAACAGATATTCAAATTAATAATTTAATTATTGGAAGAGTTAATATAACGATTTCAGAAGAAAGTCAAATTCATAAAATTGATAATATTCACTCAACCATTAATTTATGTCAAACATTATGGATTTCTTCATTATCAAAAAAGGCATTTCAAATATCAGTACTTCAATCATTTTCTCAACATTTTAAAGTTATTATAAGAAATATTGATTTAACAATAACTAAATTACTAATTGAAAACGACGCAACAATTGTTTTATTAAATAAAGCTAATGTATTGATAACAGACCCAACTTTTCTAAGTGACATCTTTTTAGAATTTCATTCAGGATCAACAATGCAATTTTGGCTTGATGTTCACTTAAATAATACTATCATTTCATTTGAAGAAGAAAAATCATTAAAAACATCTTCTACATTATATCTTAGTGGATTAACAAGTATTTTATTTAATATTCCTTTAATACCAAAATGTAATTCAAAGTATGAATTATTTGGTGGAGAAGTTATTTATAATAAAGATATTACTAAAGTTAAAATAAATGAAGAAGATGTAAGTTATCAAATTCAAGATGATATGATTGTTCATTATCCCTGTCCATTACCTGACTTATATATTTATTTAATTATTGCTTGTTGTGGTCTAGTGATTTTTATTCTTGGTTTAATATTAATTGCAATAATTATGAAATTCGCTATTATCCCACAACTTCAACGTAAATTAAAAAATGCACATGATATTATGGAAACATCTTCATTATTACAAAAACATAATAGTAATTAATTTTCTTTTTTATATATATTTTTAGGGTTTATTTATCTTTAAATCCATTTAATTTATTGAATGGAATTACCTTCAATTGTTGATAATTTAAAATTTATGATTATTCAATTTAATGAAATTAAATCTTCTTTAATTTCTTTACATAAGCAAAATGTATTTGAAAATAATATTTCTTTTGATTTTCTTCATTTAACAAAAAAAATAAATGATGAAAATTTTTATGAAATACGTGAAGAATTTGATAATGCTGCAATAAATTTTGATCAATATCGAAATTCAATTTTTATAATTGAAAAACATATTACTGATTGTTTTTATGTTATTGAAGATATTCAAAAAGAAATTGAAATTGAAAATAATAAATTAACTGAAATTGGAGAAAAATTAGATCAATATGAAGAAATATTAAATAAAAAATATAAAGAATTAAATAAACCGAGTGAATTACAAATTATTACAAATTCATCTTCTCAAAGTATTAATTCTCATCAAAAAAAAATTACAAAAACAATTAAAAATCAACAAAAAATTATAAGAAGTGATGGAAATCAAATTATTAATGATAAAGATAAAGAAGATATTGAATTATTAAATACAAATAAAAAAGTATTACTTCAATGGTGTAATGGGAAATCCTTATCAATTCGTTATGACTCAAAATATGATGGAGAATCTCAAAAAGATTTTATTAAATATATTAAAGGATATGGAAATATTTATTTAATTTTATTTGATCAAAATATGAATGTATTTGGTTGTTTTATTCATTCTCCAATTTTAATAACAAATAAACCTGTTGTTGATATTTTTGGATTTATTTTTGAAATAGCAAAAGAAGGAACTATTCACTTAAAAAAATGTAATAAAAGAAAAGATGTTATTTCTTCAATTACTCTGTTTGAAGATAATTGTAAGCAAGCAAATTCACTACTTTATATTGGCAAAGACCAATCAACTGGAATGTTAATATTAAAACCTTTTATACAAAATGGAATGATTAAACAAATATATAAATCGTATTCAACATCTAACTCTCTTGTTTTTAATTCTATTCAACGATTTGAAACTAGAAGAATTGTTTTATTAGAAATTGATTTTTAATTTATTGTTATTTCTCTCTTTCTTTTATGTTTTTTTTGTCTTTTATTATGTTATATTATTATTCCTCTAAAATCAATAAAAATTTGTTTAGTCTAATTATTTATAATCAGAAATTGTATGTTTTTAATTAATAAAAATTATTTGTTATTTATTTAATTTATTTTTATTCATTTTATTTATTCAAAATTAAAATTGTTATTTAAATAATATAAATTATTAGATAATAGTTTATAAACTATAAATAGAATAATTATGAAAATATAAAAAGATGTTATATTTTAATAATTTTGTTAAAATTACAAAAAGAACTAAAAAGAACTTAAAAATAGTAAATGCAAATTCAATTATTGTTCGTTATCATTGCCATTGCTATGGCTCATGGACCAAAAGTTACTAATCGAGTTTATTTCGATGTTATAATTGGAGATGAAGAAAAGCCAAGCCGAATTGTTATGGATCTTTTTGGTAAAACTGTTCCAAAAACAGTAGAAAACTTTAGAGCTTTATGTACCGGTGAGAAAGGAATGGGAAAATCAGGTAAACCACTTCATTATAAAGGATCAATTTTCCACAGAGTTATTCCAGGATTTATGATTCAAGGAGGTGATTTTACTCGTTTCGATGGAACTGGAGGAGAATCAATTTATGGTGCTAAATTTGAAGATGAAAACTTTAAATTGAGACACACCAAGAAAGGTATTCTTTCTATGGCTAATGCTGGTAAAGACACTAATGGTTCTCAATTCTTTATTACACTTGTTCCAACTGCTTGGTTAGATGGTAGACATGTTGTATTTGGAGAAGTTTCTGAAGGACTTGATGTTGTTGATAGAATTGCTGCTGTTGGATCACAATCAGGAAAAACATCAAAGAAAGTAACAATTGTTGATTCTGGAGAATTACCAATGCAAGAATAATTGATTTGATTATAATAATATTCATTTATTTTGGTTTTTTATAATAACTCACAAATAAGAATTAAAAAGGGTGTAAAAAGAACTAATAAATAACAAATAATAGAATGAGTAAACCACCAGCAAAAAATAAGAAAATTTCAATCGCTTTTTGTGGAAATTCTGCTGTTGGAAAGACTGCATTATTTACTCGAATTACTAAAGGAATTTGTTTGGTTTTCTTCTTATAAAAAAAGAATTAAGAAAATTTATTTATTTAGTTAATGAACATTTAGAAGCAAGTATTAGTGCAGACGTATTTACCAAGCAAGTTAATGTTGATGGGCAAAATCATAATGTTGCTTTATGGGACACAGCTGGACAAGAAAAATTTAGATCAACAACAAAGTCTTATTTGAGAGGGTTACATGGAGTATTATTTTGTTTCGACATAACAAAGAAAGAAACATTTAATTGTATTGATATGTGGATTCAAGAATATGAACAAGCCCAAACACTTAAAGATTTGGCTGCTCGTTATTTAATTGGTTGTAAAGGTGATTTAGCTTCTAAACGTGAAGTTTCAAGAGAAGATGCTGAAAATTATGCTAAAACAAAAAATATGACTTATTTAGAATGTTCAGCAAAAACAGGAGATAATGTTGATAACTTATTGGTTTCTGTTATTCGCTCTTTTAAACAGAAAAATCCTTCTTTAGTTACTCTTGGAATTATGCGTCCTAGTGTTTCAGATTCTTCTTCATCTACTTTACCATCTTCTTCAGTAACAACCTCTGCTCCAGTTTCAGCTCAACCAAAAGAAGAAGAGCCTGTAACATTGACTAAGCCACAGTCATCAAATAACGAACCTCAAGAGGCTGGAGGGTGTTGTTAATTTGAACTATTTTTGTTATATTTTTCAAAGTCTTTGCAAACATCAAAGAAGTTTCTGTTATTTTAGTATTAGTTTCTAATTTTTTTTCTTGTTAAAAACAATGTAACACTAATTCACTAATTACTAGTATTTTTAATGAGAGTAAAAATTCCATAATACAAGTTCTTTAACACTTTTTTTAATTCTTTAAATCAGTAACTTCTTATAATTACAACTATTTTATCTAGGAGTATTATTAAGTAGAGAAATTAGTGTTATTCATATACATTATATTATTTATAATATTTTTATTCATTATTTTATCTTTTTGATATTCATTATTAACTTTATTACATTAATTCTTTTTCATTCATTCAGTATTATTTAATGTCTCAATACTATTTGATGTAACCAATTTCATTATTATATTCAAAATATGTTTATTTATAATTCTATCATTTATTGTTTATAAATATACTTAAAATATTATTACTTTTTATCTGTAATTCATGTCAAAAATTCATTTATTTAATTATTAATCATTATGCTTATTCTTCTTTTCATATTTATTATAATTAATATCATTTCATTTTAGCTTTTATCACAAATAAATTATTTGATTTATTATTTCTAATACTGGCTCATTATAAGTTATTTCGTATGAAATAAATTTATTCTTTATTTCATTCTTAATATTGTAAGTTTCGTTTTATATTTTTATTATAAAATCATTTCTTTAATACCAATTATTTAAAGAATATTTAACACTTTTATTCTTTTTATTTTCATTCACATCATCCATTATTCATTAGATTTTCTTGTTGATAAATATTTATTTGTTTAATTACTAAATTTATATTTTTCATTGATTTATTCTTTCATTTTCATTATTATTTATTCAAATTCTTTATTTTATTTATTTCATCTTGTATTCTTTATACATTTTATTTTATTGCAATTACGTTTTGTGTTTTTTTTTCAAATGATTTGTTTATCATATTCTTCATACTTTTTTCATTACTCTCTTTTATCTATTCTCATTAACTCTTTTTACCTTCTTGAATAAATATCGTTATTATATCAATTTCTTTATCATTAACTTTTATCATCAACTCTTTCTTATTCCTGTCACATCATTCATTATTATATTTTTATTTAACAATCTTTTTTATATATTAAATTATGTCAATAAATTCATTTCACTTTTCATAATTATATTTATCAAATTCATATCTAACAAATTAGAAATACTAAAAGTTACAATAAAGAAGATAAATCAATAACTTCAAATGATATATTTATTTCAAATATAATATTAGTACGTTTTAATAAATATTTGAATATCAAATAATTGTTTGTACATATCATTAATAATGAAAATGTACAAAATAATAAAAATTACATCAAATAAATGATATTAATAAAATATATTCATAAATAGAATAAATGATAATGTTAATTAATAAACAATGAAATATGAGAAAATGATAAAGAATAATAAATATAGTTTAAAAGCAATAATTTAAGAAG